CTTAACGTAGTGTAGAACTTCGTATTTACCAAAAAGTTTTCTTTTATTTTTTTTTTTTATTTTTTGTTTTTAATTTTATTTTGTTTTCTGTAAAATTTTGCAGGGTTTGCAGGGTTCGGGTTGAGTGCAAGTTGTTTAGGAAATAAAAGGCCGTAGTTCATTAAATTTTATGAATGCAAAAATTTTTAAAATCAAGTTTCTTCTCATTTGCTCTAAAAGTGTCAAAAACATTTCTGAAGTACCCATAAAAACCATTTATGGCTGTGAAGGCGGTAAGCTTGTGGTGCATATTTGGCATACGTAAAACTCTGATGAAGTTAAATTGGCTACACGCCAAGGCATACAACAGAAACTGAACCTATATGTGAGTACTCATGGATGAGAATCTTTGCAAGAAACAGTCAAAAAGCAAAAGAAGAGTTTTGTAATAATTTTTAATTAAACAAAATTTGACTGTATTATTAGCGAAAGTAATCCTGATTTTCTTAAGAAATTTATTTCAATGCAAGAGTTCATATACATTGATGTAGGTTAGTTACTTTTTCTGAGACAATTATATTTTAAATTTTGTACTAAGTTATTTAAAATGAATTACGAGATTGTTAAAGGATAAGATTACCAAATTAAGTCTTAAGTTACTTAAAAGTAAAAATCTATCAATTTTTGATTTAGGTCAGATCATATTCATTTCTCATACAGGACTCATTAACATTTTCGGTCGATTGAAAAAAATGTTCACTTTAGATAGATTTTAGTCTAAATTAAAATGTTACGAAAACTTTATTTAAAATGTTATTTAAAATTTATTAGCAAAGCATGTAGCCCCAACCTTTACTTTCATCCAACACAACTCAAGCACTTCGCAGGTGCGCTCGTAAAATAATTTTACAGTCAAATTCATTTGTGAAATTGATTTTTCACTTCATTAATATTAAATTACACTTCCTTAATAGACTTTTAATCTAAAATATATATGCCCACTTGAATTATTGAAGTTGGTTAGTGGCATTCAATATTATATATTTGAATTTAAATGTTCATACTGTGCTTAATAATGTTAAACTAAAATTTAGAGTATAAATTTATATTCTAGGAATATTAAATTTATTGCAATAATAAAACAAACATTTTTAGAAATTTTCACTTTATGTTACCTTGGGATTTAATTTGGATCAAACACAAACATTAATTACAAATTTATTTTTGCAAAATCGCTTTGAAAATGACTATCTACTAATTAATCATTTGTTCAAAAAAAAAAAAAAATATATATTTTACTTGAATTTATATTTATTATACATTATTTTTTTTTGTTTTTAAATTTAAATTTTGAAAGTGTTGTTCAAATAGAATAAATGCAGTAAAAATAATATTTTAAAGCAGTCTTAAGTTTAACCAAATAACCAAATAATTCGTCCGTAACTTCTATATGGATGTGTAGCGTTTAGCAAAGCCTTAAACACTTCTATTCGCCAGCTAAAAACTGCCCAAAGCCAGGCTCTGAGAAGATCTTTCAAGAAACCATAGTACATTAGGACGAATGACATCCTCAGGGACCTCAAGATTGATCCCATCCAAAAATACATAAAGGATAGATCCCTGAAATTATTTATGAAAACTGACGGACTTACCAACACCGCGTTATCAAATCTCAGAATGCTTACAGACTCCTCGGGAAGATGTGCAGATCTGAGGTCAATTATTGCTTAATCTGATGAAGTGATAAACAATAATCCAGTCAAGGCGCAAAGAGGGGTTTTGAAGAAACCTCACAGTTAATAGAGAGTAAAAGTGCTTTAATAAAATAATGAGTAATTTAATATTCGCTTTTCACTTTACTTACTCTAAATTCTAATAAAAATTGAAATAAAACGTATTCGACTTTGTGAAAAAAAAATTGGAAATAAAACTATTGCTATAGTTGCGATATCGTCTACTCATAGCAATGAACTTTAAAGACTCAGATTTGTGTGTTTTATTATCCATATATTTGGGTTTCTGCTGGAACAAAGAAGTTCTGTAACTTTTCTTCAATATGAGCGACAAATAAGGCCGAAAATATTCACAAGGAAACTATATATTTCGTTTGCTATTTTATCGATCCCATATTCCGTAAGATAATGTACTTAGCTTAATGCATAGATTTATAGAAAGAATAGTTGTGCATTTCAGTGTTGTTCACATGCGGACCAGTAAGGTCCTTATAAGGGTCAGCGTAGGAATAGCGCTAATCAGTGGTCTTAGAATGTATGAAGTAAGCTTCTGTATACAAGGCTGCTACTTTAACTTAGACTAAGCTTTGTATTTATTTATCACAATATTCCTATAGACGCCATGATGATTAGTATGAATAAATTACAAAGAGAAATTAATTTCAGCATTAGTTTTGTTCTTGAGTTCCTTTAAGGGGGCAACTTCTTTGTCAGAACAGTCGTAGGTACAGGATCCAACCCCTATAATAACAGGAGTTACACCTCTGGTCAGGTGCTGCAAGTGAAACTCACTCACTACCGTTTATGCTCTAAACAATACCAGGGAGTTCCAACTGGATTTTAGTCTCTTCTGACGACAGACACGCTTTGTGAAGTTAAAACGACTGAACTCTTTTAGAGCTTATAAAACACTGCAAAATTTCAGGATTCTTTCTATCTTCACGCAGTTTAAAAATATCTTAAAACCTAATTCAATTAGGTTTTGTGGCCTAATTAATGTAATTTTGTTTTGTCAATCAATGTAATTATCTGATATTATGTGATCGGTTCCTATGTAACATAATTGGTGATGGTTCCTATACTATTACTGTATGATATTAAACAATGGAGTTTTAAACTAATTAGTTTAAATTTACGCTTTCATATAATGACAAAGAAACTATTTTTCAAAATTTAGAGGGATTCAAATAGCAAAGAAAGAAAGGTGGCTTTCGTTGTCACCACCTTTTTCATTGAAATGTGGTTGACCATAGAACGTTGATTCGAGTATTGCCAAATTTCCATCATCAGTGGTCTTACGAAATATTTGAATTTCTTAATTAGTTTATACTGTTTGTTTCTATAATTTTGTGTGTGTGTTTTAAAGAACGAAGCCAGATAATGGAAAATGTACTCTGGGAAGAACTTATTCAAATGAAATTACTTATGTGTTAATACACGCCGTACTATGAAAATATTTCAACTCCTGTCCGGAAGTTGTCTTGAAATATAGAAATCTACATGAGGTAGAAATATAAAATTGACCATGTAAACTACTGCTCTTCTGTTTGATTACTGTTTTGCATTCTACACTGAGAGTCGTCAATGAAATCAGATGGTACACTTAGTAATGATTAAGCAGATAAGAAAAAGCAGATGTTGTTAAGTAAAATCACATTCAAAATAATAAGAATGTTGCAAGGTAAAGCAATTTAAATAATAAAGTGTTAAATAATAAAATAATTGCTATTTCTTCATATAGAAATTTTTTACTTCAAGTATTAACTACGGAGTTTAATTTTTTATTACATATTATTATGTTGAGTCAGTGCACTTGAGCACTTCTGTATTCTTTTAACTACGAGGTTTCTTCATAACTCCTCTCTACACCCTGAATGGATTATTGTTTATCATTTTATCATACAAAGCAATAATTGACCTCAGATCTGCATATCTTCCCGACGAGCCTGTAACCATTCTGAGGTTCGATAACGCAGTGTTGGTAAGCTTGTCAGTTTTCTTAAATAATTTCAGGGCACTATCCTTTATGTATACCTACAATAAATAAATAAGAAATAATAAATTTATTATATATTTTATTTTTAAACATAAATAATTTAAGACAATTTCAATGGACTTACTTCAATTTACCTCCAAGCTCTCATATTTTCGCCAAATAGATTTACCAAGGCTCAACTCGAAGTTATTAATCACAGTTCTCACTCAAGTCTTTTGGTGTTCGAAATCCATCCGAAATTCGCTTTTGTGGCACTTTGCAGTTGCTTTCATGAGCTGAGGCAAAGGCGTTGTTTCGCATTATAGTTAATATTCAATAATTTGCACGCAAAACTTTAAGGCGTGATATTTACCGAAATTATTGGTATATTTGAATAATTAGCACTATAATTTGCTATACTCGCAAAACAAACATTAACACCGAAACGAACTTACGCACAACTGCCCGAGCTGCTCGCATGCATAAATGAATAAATATTAATGCAATAATTCAAGCAAAGTTTATGTTGGCGTACGTGTTTGCGCTATATTTCTAAGCGTGTTAGCTGAAAGATCCTTCGAAGGATACAGGATACACTTCAAACGTGCAAATAGTTGTGCATACGTGTGCATGTGTTGGTGCTGACCTCAAGTGTGTTTTATGAAGCGCATAATTAGAAGCGCTCATTATTTTCCATTACATGTAAAACAGTTTCAAGTTTGTTTGCTTGGTGTGGTGTTTATGTGTGTGTGTGTGTGTGTGTGTATGTCAGTGTGTGCGTAAATTTAGCACAACAAACTTGTGAAGGTCAGGCGAAAGAGTAGGCATCTCTGACCCCGTGTTTGTATGGAAAAATTTTTCAATATTCTGATTACGAAATAAATTAAAAAATAATTATTTTAATTCGAAGCAGCAATTTAAATACATTTAAATAAGCGTGGTTGATTAAAATATATTGAAAAATTAATTAAAAATTAATTTGATTTAAACATTGTAAAAACAATTCAATTAACACAATTGCACACAAAATATTTGCTTAAGGTTAATAATTATTTCAAGTTGAATCAAGTTGATCTTATGTAGAAAAGGTATAATAATATGATAAAGAAAAAAGTGCCAGGTTCAACCAAAAACCTTTTATAAAATTAATTTGAAGCCTCAAAATCTATGTAAAAGGAATATAGAACCACAATTCATCTTATAACCTTCAGAGAAGACTTTAAAGAGAGGAATAAAACCATACTAGTGAAAGACCTAATCACTGGAAAACTTTTTATAGACCGCGTACGATATGACTAGCAATTCCCCTAAACATGTCTTTTTTTCTTAATCGTATGAAACGTTTCCTCGAATTAATATTGCAAACAGAAAAGACTGAAGCGATGTCTTTTCAATCGAGTACGTTACTTGGCCAAACACATATATTAAACTACTTCCAAAAACTATTGCAGAGCGATAACTTCATGAAATCACAGAACACTCCCTTAGTATATATACATATACTTAGTAAACATATACTTTAGTAGGTTTCAAAAAGTAGTAAACTGCAACTGCGAATACACAAGTAAAGTATGACGGCCTTGGATCAGTTGTCTAATGAACGCTGACTCTGAGCTTCAAATTTGGCAGAGTATGAGTTTAACGCTTGGTACTATAGTCACTTCCGTTATGACTGACGTTAAATTACAACTTCAACAATTTGAGATATAGAATGTTGTTCAATTTAATAAGGAAATATATCAATTCACAATTACTTTCTAGAAATAAAATTATTAGATGAATACTTTAAATCTCAGTGTTAAGTTTCATATTAAATCTATTATCATTGTATCAATTATTATAATTGTTTTCTTATTATTGTATTATTATTGTCAATTATTATAATTGTATTCTTATTAGTGCATTCATTATATGTGTACATAAGTACCTAAATTAGTTCTTATGTTGTTTTTGTTGTTGGTGTTTATTTGTGTTATCAAACATTTTTAGCATTGTTGCTGGCTCTCACAACTAAATATTCGCACGCTAGCAGCGTGCCAGACGTAACATGATCATCTTCACACGCCACTGTGCAAGGTTGATAAGCATTATGTTCAATTTCTTTTATCGTGTGTTCGTTGTGAGTTGCAGCAATAGGCAAGCCGCTGCGACAATTCTGTTGTTCCCACAGGTGCAATATGAGTTGGCGCATGGCTTCAGTGATAACACATTTAAGTCACCAAATTTGTGAAGCAGGTTGATATATGGCAAAATACATATATCAGCTTGCTGATTGCATTAAATAGTATAAGCATAGGTAATGCACATATTTCCCACGAACGCCCTTGGCCTTGAATGTTCAAAGTCCATCGGATAACAAATCGTGGGAACTGGGTGCATTTCCTCCTTTACCATAAGCTTAGTGTTAAGAATTTTGTATAAAAGCACAACATTTTTAATAAACATTTGATTCAATTTAACAACCTGAATACAACCAAGTGTTTTCTTTTGGTTTAAGTGCCTAAAAGAACCTTGAGCAAAGTCGGTTTATGTGCCGAATTTGAAAATCAATAAACAAATAAATATCTATATATATATTTACATATATATCTAGATATCTATAAATTACGTAACTGGTTCATGTGCCGGATTACGTAAGTGAATTACTAAGCTGGTTAAAGTGCCGGATTAGTGAATCCGTATCAGACTAGATACGGAGGATAACATATCGTGAAAAGCTAAGCTGGTTCAAGTGCCGGATTAGCTTCAGTCCGTATCAAACTAGGTACGGATCATAACATTTTTG